CCCCAAAACCCCAAAACCCCAAAACCCCAAAACCCCATTAAATAATATTTCTCTATTTTATTTTGAATTGATAATTAAAATTGCTTTTAAATTAATGCTAAATTTATATAAAAGCAGGATTGATCATTGATTTTTCTTTTTAGACTTTTTATTTTTCTTTTTATTTTATTGTTTCTCAACTTATTCTTAGTTTTGTTTTAATTAAGTTATGGTCTCATCTGTATTAACTTCTACTATTTTTTCGTTAATCACTTCATTATTAGTTTATTCAGGATTCAACTTTTAAGATTAGCTTTCAATAGTTAGCTCATCTTCCTACTAGACTTCCTCTAGAGGATCTTATGTTTATTTCGCGGCCTCAATACTTTAAAATCTCTACTAATCCTCTAAATATAGCTTGAACTTTTTATCAGCCTTTTCTCGCTTAAAGGCGATTCTTAGCTTTCTTCTCTCTATTCGTTTTTACTCTAGTTTAGCTATTCTTTTGCTATTAATAATTAAGCAAGCACCCATATAGAAAAATGAACTCACAATCATTAATGTAATACCTAAAATGATTCTGGCTCTATACAAGAATTTGTAGCAACTTAGAGAATAGAAAGCAAGCATTATTGAAAGAAATGGCACTCCGATGTTTTTCATCACTGTCTTCAGATTATCTTTACTAACTATGCTAATTGACATAAAGAAAGTTATTTATGGAACATATAGGACTAGATCATTGTCATAGGGGTATTTCAGTCTATTTTCTTAATCCTAAATTCTCCAAGCTTCAACTATAAAGCTTTCATAATATGTAGCTAAGGTTATTAACCCTATGAGAGTGAAGTCTATCATATTCCAGGCTTAACGTTTACCATACTGTTTCAACTTCTCATCTTCAGATTATTCCATCCATTTTTTAAGTTTACTTGCTTTAATCATCACTGTTAAATAACTAAACAGACCAGAGACTAAAATAATAGTTTGCAAACGCAAGACAAACGCAAATGCGAGCATAAATAGCATACTAAATAGAATTAGATATTGAGTGAATGTTCTTATCGGATGAAGCTTTTTATCAATCTTATCCCAAATATCAAAAAGAAAAGTTCCTAAAATCACCTTGATAATTTAGTAAACTACTATAAGTAAGTAGGTCATAGAATATGATAAGATAGGCACGAGAATGAGTTACTCGTTTTAATAGGATAGCTTTGTGAATCTAGATTATTGATTATCTGTATAGAGAAATCCGAATTTAACGATGTAGTCATGGAAATTTTAGATGAAGTATGTATGAATCACAAGAGATGTCATTATTAGGTTTGAATAGCTTAGGAATAATTCCTTAAAAGAATACATTGCGTCTTCAAAAAATAAAAGAATACAAAGAAGAAGTATTATCATTATGATGTTGTTCAAAAGCTAAAAGTAAATCTCATCAAGAATGATTTAGAAATATTTCACAATATCATAAGACACAAATATTTCATTATCAAAGTATAATTCCCTATAAAATTAAATAAGCAATAGACTTACATTACTAGGCTAAGAATATTAATTGACTCTAAATTATCGATCAAGTAAGTTTTACAGCCCTTAAAGTGAATATGAATTTCTCCGTTTTACTCCACAATCAAATCACTATTTGAACATACTCGTAAAGGTAGGGGATTACCCAAACTTTCACTAATTTGATTCATTAGTACTTCAAAATTTTAGTCCTTGATGATTAACTAGAAATCCTAACTACTGATTATGTTCTTTGTATAGTGATACTTCCTATATTAATCTTGGTGAATTTTCAAAGAACACATAGAATTTTTAGTGATATTGTTTGTAACTTCGAACATTAGATGATCGATTTATTTCTTGTCAGTTCTCAATAGCAACTCTCGCCCGGTGAAAGAGGTATATTTGATTCTCCTATAATGCGATTAAGATTTTATGTCAGCTAAAAAAACTTCTATCTTGTAGTTTTCTCCATTTAAACTCTGGTAAAACTTTATGTCTTCACAGTCAGTCACAAACTAATATCTCTCTTTACTATTTAGAGTAATGTTCATTTCGAATTTCATGTAATCTTTGTCTACTAAAGTAGTGAAGTCTGAGCCTTCAAAATCCACTTTAGTTCCTTCTTAGTAGTTGAAATTTATTTGTTTAGTATTTACTGATTTCACATTGCTTTTCTAATTAATTACATGTGTTGTGGCATTTGTAAGTCTGTTTGATAGCACTTTATTTTGCTTAGATGTTGAATTTAGTACAGTATTTATAACAAAACTTTGATAATTACCGTTATCAAGTAAGTTCTTACCATAGAAACATGTGTTAATCTTTTGCATTTGATTTGTACTTGTCTCGATAGAAAATTTAATCTAGTTCAAGAAGTATCCTAAATACTTCTAACCTTCATCATAGACATCACAGTTTTTTATCACAATCTGGAAAATATTATTCTTAACCTAGAAAGAGAGATCTCTAGTGACCTCATCTAAAAAGTATGCAGGCAAAGGGGAATAAGTATTCTTTAACTTAACTGGATAATGATTGAGGATAGATATGATATTTGAAATTTAATTTTGGGGAAATCTGGGTTATTCAATCGCGACTTAGGCTACTAATGCTCCCTCATCAATACCAATTATTGTCACCTTGCATTTCCTTCTGTAAAACAGCACCTTTTCCTAGATAACTCTGAAGACATACTTAGCCTACATCATTACTATATCACCTGAATTTCCAGACGGTTGCTCCTGGAAATCGAATATATATATTTGGAACTCTATTTCATTATTTATAAAGTGTTGCTACATATGCTTTTGAGTCTTGTTATGGTATTTGATCATAAATTATTAGTAATCTTTGAATGATTATTGATGGCCAGGAATGATGAATGTCATATAAATGAATTATTCCATTGGTTGATTTAACAATTCCTCGTCTGTTAAGTTTTAATCCCCGCTGCCATAAGATGTATTTCCTGGAGAGTATTCGTAAAGATCAAATGCCCCAAAAGATTTGAGATCTCTTAGCTTCTTAGATATTAAAGATTGTTTTAGTCGTAAGAGTTAAGAGTCTCTCAGGGTAGATTCATCTTAATCTTAACTTAGAATTTTCTAAATGAGCTCTTACTCATAAGCTAAGAAGAAAAAACCCAAGGTGAAAACTACAAGTATTAGTCTAATTATGGTTGATATAATTTAAGACATTTTTTTAATTAAATTACTAAAATATTCTAACCCTAAGATATAGAATATTCCTAAAATTTTCACTATTTTGATGCATGGGGTTTTGGGGTTTTGGGGGTTTTGGGG